ATTGTTTTATTCTATTTAAATTCACAGAAGCAATGGATGAAATTTCCTCAGAAATTTCCCTTTGCTTCAGAGGGCTAGTGGCACGAGTTGAAAATTTGTGCCAATAGAAGGCAGTGCTAGTTGAGGAAAGCTATTTCACGAGTGGAGATAAGATATCGTATCGAAATAACAGCTGCTAAAGAAATCACAAAATCTTTGCAACCACGATCAATGAAGTAATTTCTGTCCAAATGTACATAAGTTATATTTTGAAGTTCACACTGGATCTCTAATTTTCAGAACGACATATATTTGTACAATATAATATGTAGTGTTGAACAACTAATAAATTTTTTTTAATCTTGTCTTCATTCATGTGCCTCAGTACTTTGGCCATAGTAGTTGACTTGGGTGTAGCTATAGCTTTGATTGCTGCACTACATTTTACATGTGATCTAATTTTGAGATGATATTTTAATGTGTCTTTTTGAAATCACCAAGAAAGGATTAAGAAAATTAGATCACATATAAAATGTAGTGCAGCAATCAAATCTATAGCTAAACCCAAATCAACTACTATGGTCAAAGTACTGAAGCACATGACCAGACAGATATATAAATTTAATAATACAGTCGTCCTCCTGTAAAACCTGCTTGCCGCAGATGTGAGGACAGACAATTTTTCAAACTCTTGACATTTTCATTTTTCTTCAACACAGAGCAACAAAGTGCATGGCTAAATTCTTGAGATTTTGTTCTTCCTCATTCATAGAACAACACCACCAATTTTCTTATTAGGAGGATCCATTGTGATTACTCTTAGCATATCCTATCAATTTAGCATTTCTTGATATAAGGGGTATATAAGAATATGGCTTTACTTGGGTGGATAAAGATTTTAGGTATACCCTTAATACTTATTTTGGAAGCTGAATGTTCATCCTACAACACAATGAAATACATCAAATAAACTTCTCAGAAATTTAGATACAACAAATAACAGAAGCAGTAGCACTTCTACAACCTAATTAAAATATTAATAAAATAAAAAACTTTATATAGTCTAAGAATAATAAAACTGCTACATACTATCATCTGAAGGAGTCTCATATTCAACAAAATGTTAATGATCTCATCCACACAAGGCTCCAAACTATCTTTCTCATTTCTCATGTTGTCGAAAGTCATGGATTTCACTTGTTCCATGCTCTTGGCCTGTTAAGAAGAAAAGCAAAAGGGTACATATATATCTATACACATAGTGAGTTTTACATTATAAAGTTCATGAACACTTTAAAGCAAATCAATGTCTATTCATCAAAGCAATTCATAGATAATAAAGTCACACTTTAAAAATTCTCCAGAACATATGACACTTTAACATGAGGCACACAATATTTCTACACATATATAATCATCTTGCATGCACAATGTCACATATGTTCAAATATGGTTTTATTATGTACTGTTTTGGTTTCAAACTTCACAGGTGTTAGTTACCTGAAATAACTGGCTATAGAGGACAATAACACATCTGTAAGCTAAAATTACATTCTCCATGAAGAATGCTGGTAGTACTTGTGGAACACACATGACGTGGTTGTAGAAACCCACAAGGGGTAGAGCAACATGCTGAGCAACATTCTGAACTTCTCGCATACTCTACACAAAAGAAGAAGAAAAAACATCAGAAACATTAATGAAATCAATTTCTTTACTCTCCACAAATGGGATTTAATAACTATGTTTACAACATATCAAAGAAAGGTAGGCTAATCAAACATAAACCTATACCACACAAGTCATTCAATTCCATCACAGTCTTTATTAACTCAGATATTCATTTACTTGAGTTGTCAATAAACCAGTATGAAAAGTTTATCACTAAAAGAATCCCAGTAACCAATGTGCATTTTATTAGACACTCCAAACAATTATTAGTATAACCCAATACTGAGTTGTTATTCTGACAAACCAAACTATAGTGTGAAATCCTGCAACCAATTCAAAGCTCTACGTAAAGTGATAGTACCTGTGATTCACATCACAGACAGACATTTTGTAGCTATTAAAAACAAAATAGTCCAACACGTTCTACTAAATATTTTTATAATCTTCAAGCTTACACTAGCTGTTGGTCTTTCAACAACCATTAGTATAAAATTTCTACTTTGTAGAAATGCAAACTTGTGTAAAATATGTGATTTTCTGGTACGCATTAATTTTAAAATCACACCACCTCCAAATATGTACAAATATTAAAATTCATATGATCTCACATTTAAATTCTATTAACAGGATGTAAATCTCAGAGGAGCCCTGTAATATGGTAACTGCTTGAATGATTATTGTTCCAACTATCCACTAATCAAAATACTGCCATTACTATTTTTGATTAATTAAAGTCTGTTCATCTTAATCTAACAGTCATTAAAATAATCAATTAATCAAAACTAGGGTTTCTTATTATCACTATTTTTGATTATTCCAACTACGTAAGTAATAAAAATATCATTATTACATTTCTTAAAATTTTTCCTTTCTATTGGTTATAAATAACCCAATAGCAAATGTGAGAGAGAATTATTCAGATTTTTTAAAGACAGCATGTGCAAGGAAGGGCGTAGAATGTGAGTTGCAGTTTATGACATATAACTCATTAAAGCTAGAAGATGCTAAAGTTTTTCATTTCAACTTGGAAACTGAAAGTAATACAGGGATGGAAAGGAATTTAAACTGGACAAGTTGAAGAAAAGAAGTGACACATGGTACATAAAAGTGGAATTTAAGAACTGATTTAATTATTTTCTTCAGAAAATTAAGAGATTAAAAATAATATAACATTAAAATTTGAATTGTATACAAATTTTTTATGTCAAGTTTATTAACATACATTGATGATAAAATAGTTTAATTAAATTTTAAATGTAACTCTGTAAAAAAAGGTTAAATCAATGAAAAATTATTGTACTTTAAAGCTCTAGACATTTAGAATAAAACATTTTCAATGAAAATGTGCATTATTGCTAGAGCTATTGATACCAGAATATAAAAGAACAATGACTATTCTTACCAAACTAGCTTTTAATTTGTTTAACCTCTGATGACCTTCTTCCTGGAAATTCAGCAGTTTTGTTAAAGTATGAATGAAAAACTTCTGTTTCATTCCACTACAAAATTTTCCTATTTGTCCACTCACTTCTTCATAAGCCCATCCCTTCTGGTCAAGATTTGCAATTTGTTTAGAAACTAGAGAAAATCAGACAAGTAAAATGTTAAAAAACAAACAAAAAAAAACAAGTTGGCTTTAAAAAATACCTTACATTCACATTTTTATATAATTATTTGTCCTTTTGTTCATAACTTTTAATCCAACATGGGTCAAGTTATATGTCTACAGCTGTTTAATAAGTCTTGTTTTAGTCAGACAATAGGGTTATGTGTCTAACTTTTAATCATAAACAGGAACAGGTTATCTGTCTAAAGCTGTTGAAGTAACGTCTCTCTTTAATCAGACATAAAGGGCTATACCTGAAGAAATACACAACATTAAAATTTATGGTTTAAATGCTGAAAGATAACAAAACATTAGAAACCAACAGGCCTAAAATTTGTGATAAACAATATTTCAGCTGCAGATGTTGTTGTTTTTGCACACATCCCTCTTAATTTGTCCATTGCAGATTCCATATGAGATGTGTGTGTGTAAACAGCATTTCAGAACTATCTTTTGTTTCTTACAAGTCACTGACCAAGAAGCCTTTTGTTCAATAACAGAACTCATCAGTTTGTCTAGACAATGAGAGACAAAACTTTCTTTGAAATGTTATTTATATATGCAGTATAATACTTTAAAAATCATGATTTAAACAACTGCAGTTAAAATGATTTTTTATACAAATACACAACATTGCCAATGCAGCAAAGTTTCTTTGTAACTCAATGAAAAGTGAAAACCTACAGTAGTTATACCAGTTTCTCTTGTGAACAAAATGCAAATACTCTTTTCAAGATTAAGTCTGCAAAGAACAATTTTATTAATTTTTTAATTCTCAAAATAAACTTCATTTAAAGATTATACACTTCAGGTTTCTCCTTAAAACTTAAGAGTAAACTAAAATATTAGCTTAATGATCTTTTTGTTGTTATAGAAACTGTTCTCTATTGAATATTTATGGGCTGTGATGAAAATCTCCTATCTTAATTGACAAAATTCCGAACCAAAGTTGTTTTCGATAGACATTTACTCCTATTGTTAATCTTTTCTTTTGACTGACATTTCTAACTTTTACAGAAATGCCATTCTGAACCAAACTTGTTTGTCTTTGATAAAGGTTTACTCTTCTGGAGAAATCATTTCATATGCCATTATTTTTCTATCAATGTTGTTGAGGGTCCATGAATATCTTGGTCTTATGGTTTTGTTGTCATGCGTGTGATTTCTCTTAATCTTTTCAATGCTATCATTAATTTTTCAGATCATTAACCAGCTTTTGCTACAAGATCTATGTAACCAGAAAAGTTGAAGAAATTAAGCACAAATTCTTCACCATAAGTCTGATAACACAGCCCTGTAATAAACAAACACAATATCAAGTGTAGTGGAATGAACTGTCAGAAGATTTAGTATTAGAAAAATTAGGTTTGACATATTCAAATGTATTGAAACTAATTTCCGTAATATCAAGACTTGTTTCTAACAGTTCGTTGAATTTAGAATGTTTTTTCCCTCACACAGCATTGGCTTTGATCAGCAGTAATGCTGTCTAATAATTAGACTGTTTTTATCAACAGAACTGTAACTAATGCTTGATATATACAAATACTGTAGCTCTATGTTACAACTACAATATATTTTAGATCTTTCGACCATCTTAAAACTAGAGTTTGAAAGACACACCTGACAAGTAAATAACAGATACGAAGAAAGTTTATAATGAAATTTGCATAAGTCTTCATCAGGTTTCTCATTCGATTAAGTTTATTGCATTACGGTTATTTGGCTATAAAAAAAAAGGCTCTTCAAACAGAAAGTAGCAGCTTATGGGTTAAGGTGATACAAAACTAGCATCTTACATTAATTTCATCATCCAATACTAGATATGTAATAATAATTTTCATCAATTATTGAGAAGCCAGTAAATTCATGAATCTCCCCCTTTCTTTTATGATCATAATAGACCTTTTTAAAAAAATTTATACAGCTTAGTAAATTTCATATTAAGCATAAGTAGTTTCAGTTATTAAATAATCCTTTCCTTTCACTAGTAAGGTTTTTCTTTTGGAAAAATAAAAATTCAATAAATACTGAGGTGGTTACAAAAAAAGTGATTTAAAAAAAGCTCACTAATATACTGCCTACATCATATAAAATAACAGATAAGAACTTACTTGACAGCCAATTCAGCTTGATTCACTAAGAGTACTCATTAATGCAAGTGAGCAGATTTCTCCCTTGATCACTATTGATCAACTAATAAAGACTATAACTCATGAAATACTAGACAGATGTACATAAAGTTTATGTGAATATTCCTTCCATTTTCAAAACTCAATTAAGGCTTTATTAATCAGTGTCTGAAAATTAAAACATCCTATAGGTATAGATTAACTACGTCAAATATAAGCTTCTAAAAATACCTGCTAGGGTTAAAGGTAACACATTTTGTTTTTTTTAATAACATTGACCAGCAACAGAGTGAAATGTAAGGGGTGTGACTTGCAACCATGTGGAATATTAAAAGTGCACACAACAATACAATGAAATGTTAAGGTTAAACAAGTGACAGAGAGAAATATTAAGAGTGACCAGTAACATTTATATTTCATTACATTTAAATCTTTGTAATTTAAATTCACTGTTCATAAGAACACACTAGAGAATGGGAAATTAAATGATTAGAGAAAGAAAAACACTCATTCTGTTAACTATGATTTTGTACTCATCCAAGCTTGAAGTTATTTCTATTTCTTTCCTTACCTGTTATGTTTGCTGTTGGTAAGTAATAGTCAACAGACTTTAACAAACACTGGATGTAGGAAGTGAGTAATTCAGATGCCTTCTGGTAACTATAATCTTTTACTGCCTGGCACTAACAGAAAATATACAAGTTTAAATCTCAAATAGTTGATATAATGTATAATTGTGATTTTTAAAAATGGTTATAATAAATTATACACACACTATATTGTGCTTCTCATATATATATGTGTGTGTGTGTGTGTGTGTGTGTGTGTATTATACACACAAGTCTGAGAATATATATACATGAAAGTTCTTGTAGTCCTTCAGGCATGTTTTAAACATGTAGAAAACAAAACAGCATGTGTTTGTATTTACATTTAGTTTTATAAATAACATTTACTTACACCACATCCATTTAAGAACTTTTAAACTGAATTACATTTCATTCAGCTGTGTTCTACAATGTTATTTGACATTAATATTGTAAAGTAAAATAGCTTACAAAATATTTTTATGTACAATACAATCTTTGTCCATATCTGTGTTGTTGTTGTTTTATCAGCAGTGTAATTCTGTACTCTGATCAGCTGCTGGGAACTATCTCATTGGATATATTTTCAAACTAACTACAGCTTAGTATTTTGTAATATCACCTAAGAACTTAAGATATTTCTATGTTACAAAAGATATATTTTGATTACCTTTCCAATTCCAAAGTTCTTGATGATGTCATACTTCTGAAATCCTTTCTGATAAACTGTGCAATACAGTTCTGTGGTGTCACTCACTATCTGCAAACATTTCAAAACACAAAATGAAAATTATCCATTGTTTTTTTTGTTAAAGTTTCAGTTTGTTACCATTGCAACAGAATTGTATACAAGTATATTGATTGTTATATATAGTTATCATTATGAAACACTTTTAAACTTTGTTCTCAACCATCAATAGTACAAGTGTCCTTTATAACTAAAATCATACAAAACATACAAGAACGATCAAACCTAACATATTCATTTATGCATGATATATCTGAGGAAAAAAGTACCTTTGTTCAATTACTTGTATATTTAATATTTTGCAAGTTTATTGTTATTGCACTTTTTCATTCTACTATTCACTACAGTAAAAGAATATTTTTAATATATATTTTTTATTTTAGTTCTTTGAAAAGAATGTCCTGTTCTTCTTTGTCCAGTAGTCATGACATGGTCAAAGATATTTATTTATGCTTTTAAACAAATTACTAAAAAAATCAATGTCAAACATACACTATACTTTTTAAATAGTTAGTATACAGTACACACAGAAAGTTACAACTAAAGATTATTGCAAACTAATGCATGATAATCTATGCAAACAGCAAATGAAATGAATAAGAACATTGACAGAATATATGTTACAAAGCATGAGTATATATTGGTTTCAGGTGTAACATTCTTTTAATATCATTATTTTATTTTATAGTTTTCTTGAAAGCCACATTAACTAATCTTACGTTTTTCCAAAATTTGACTTTTATATGCTTTTGATAAGATTTGACACAGAAGATTAGCTAAAAAAATCATATTCTTATGAGGTTGGGGAAAGACGATCTAATTGGATGATAGAGTGGTTGGGTGGAAGAAAGCAAATGGTTATTAATAATAGATACTTGTTAATAGTGAGGTACCTCAGGGATTAGTGAATGGATCTTTGCTTTTTCTTACTTAAATTTGGATTAAACATTTGATATAGATGGAAATCCACTCATCACCATAACAAAATAAAAGATCTAAAGGATCTTGGTAGTGTTTATTCTCTTGCTAGAAGTCAAGTTAATATAATTTTATGGTGTACTTATAGGCATATTGAATACATGTCAAAAGAGGTAATTATTTTTATAAGTACTAGTTAGGCCTCACTTGAAATAATATGTATAGTTTTGAACTCCTTTATCTAAAAAAATACCAACTTATTGAGGAAGGTTCAGAGGAGGGTTACTCGGTTGATTCTTGGTATGGATAGAGTAAGAGGTGATATTAAAGTTTACAAGATTATCATGGGGACTAATAGGATAAAGACCTCTGATTTCCTAGTGTTGTATTCTGAAAACAATAAGATGAAAGAACACAAGTCTAAGATTTGGAAAGACAGACTAGGCTATGGGTAAGACATTTTTATTTTTCTAACAGGGTGACTGGTTTATGGAATAAGTTGCCTTAAGTAATAGTGGAGACCAGGCACTTTATAAGAAGTTTAAGATGGGCAAAAATGATTTACTGAAATACATAAAAATGGGTGTAAATGTTTACTTTTCTCAAGGGTGGGTGACCAAGGACAATCTTGAAGAACCAAAGGTACCTTGTTATCCACTTAATGTTACCTTAATATATTAAGTATATGATGAAAAACTATTAATTAAACAAAACTAATCAGCTGAACCAATACACATGTGAAACTCCAGGGCTCATTATATTCATGCACAATATTATTCAACAATTAAGTCTCTATTAGCAAGGGGAGGAACCTGGTGGGGAATCACTCGCTGGAAGATTACATCCTTCTCATGCAGGGAATACTCTTTGCTCAATCAAGGTGGCAGAGCAAAGTTTACTGTGAAAAGAACCTTCTGCATGGTGTTAAAGTGGTGCATTAGTGAGCAGAAGGCGAGATTGCTTAACCAATCATAATATGATCTTAGGTAGTCAGCTGAGCATAGGTGTAGTATGTGGATATAGCAATAAGTCAATCTGTAGTATTGGAGAAATACCTAGGTGAAACACTGGAATTAGAAAGTGTAGGGAAGAAATACATTCCAGATCTGCATTTTGAGAAGAATGCAAGACTCATTCATGTGGTATAACCAACAGGAGGTGTCCGATTCTTAGTATAGGAGGTGGCCTGTACGACACTTGCATGAAAACACTTTAGCCCTACTTCTATTTGAGGGGTACACTCGGTCTCATAACAGTGGAATTTCACCAACCCAAAGGGGAACTTTCCATATCAACCTCCCTAACAGTTTGGAATTAAGGAAGCAAGGGTTCTCCCATTTCTTCACTAGAAGAAGGGGGGGGATTTACATAGGAGGAAAACATCATAGAAGTTTTATGATTTAGATAATTTAAGTATTAAATTTACTTATTTCTAAAATTGATAGCTTATCGCAGGTTTGTTTATGTTTATGTTGTGTAGTTCAACTGCCGACTGTTGTATTATTGCATCATATTACTAGAAGCTTCTAAGTATTTCTCATTGTTTTAATTGAGTATTATTGCATTATAATATCTCATAGTGTGTGAAACATTCTAGACTTCAGTTAGGTTATAAATACACATCCACAATGTAGTTCCAGAAGACATAATTAGTTATAGAAAATTAGACAGAACTTGACTGCATGACTGTGAGTTTAGCCATAAAAAGTATATAGTGGCAACATTTAAAGTAAAATTATCACAAATTGTATTGTAATAACAGAGTAGAGAAAAATAATTTGTCTCTTCAATTCTGTTCCAAAGTAATTGAAAAAAAAAGAGGATTATTTAAAGCTCTGGATACAACTGTGGTAACAAACAATTATATTGGTGATTTTAAAGTGAAATTATCACAGACTGTATTGTAATAACAGAGCAGGAAGAATAATTATTGTCAAATTGTGTTCTACAGTAACTGAACCAGCCTGTGTAGACTTTGAATAAAAAAAAAAAAGAGACAATTATTTAAAAGCTCTCAATAGAACTGTGATAACCAACAGTGTAACAAACATTTGTATGTACATTTGACTTATTCTAATATATTATTTTAAAACAAGTGGACTGTGTGCTGTTTGTTTTTGAAATTTATTGCCAACAAGTCGCAGACACCTACTGCAAAGAATCCAGCCCATCCATACATAATAACCTGACATATATTTACTGAATGCTTGTCATATGACAGTAAATGCTGAATTTTGTATTCTGAAAATCAAATCTAAATAAATGTTTTATGAACATGTTTTCTGAAAATGAATTATATTGTAGTAACAATATAAGTATGGAGAATGTCTAACCATTTTCTAATATTTCACAAAAACAATTTTTTTTGTATATTTGATCATCATCTGTAAGTTATTCTTGTTTATGATTTTGACTTACATATATCTTTATATTATGTTCAAATCTGCTTGTTAATAAAGCCCAACAGATTGAACAAGGTGGAAAAACTACTTCTTGAAGAAATATTCTGATATTGAATGTTAACAAATAATTCAAATGTCTAATATAAACTATCATGTTATTCTGTTTTTCTAATATTGTATTCTAATATTCTTGCTCTAAACGTGATGAGTTAATAATCAAAAGAAGCTATTGAAAATGCCCACTTGACTAGGATTTAAGTCAAGACTACTGAGCCAATCTGAATGTTAACAATAGAGAGTTGAACATTATGAACAGAGAGTGGCTGATAGATAACTAAAGCATGAAGCAGTCTTAAAGAAATCCCATCTCAATATTCAGCACTGAGTAGGGGCAGATGCACTTAACACTGTCATCTTTTATTCGATACAGATGTTGGAAGAGAGAAGTATTCTCTGTGAGACATAATTGTCCATATGGTGGGTTCCACCATCTCCAATATGTATTCATAAAGATATAATAACATTCATGATGGAGCCAGAAAAAAAAAAATCAACAACTCACCTCCCTAGAGCCTCTGCAAAGATTGGAGAAAGAAGACTGGAGGGAAGCCATACCCAGAGGTAGATGAAACCACTATGTGGTACTAGTAATAAAACATATATATGTCATGGGTTGTCCACATCCATGTCTCTAAGGTCTCATCCAGGTAACATTGATGATTAAAGGCACAAGAAAAAGGAGAAAGAAAATGTCAAAAGGAATCATCTCCAATAGAACAATAAACAAGATAAATCCCACAGCAAGAAAAGATTATGTCAATTTGCTTTCAAAAAGGCAGTACAAGAAAGATAAAAACTACCTGCTTATATAAAACAAAAGAAATTATCAGGGTCAGAATGACTGTACAAAAAAGAAAGTAAAGGAACGGTAATCACCCTGCCAGGCAGCCAAAGTCTTGAGGAAAAAGGATTAGACTGGAAATGAAATCAACCTGTCCCTGAGGTAATACATGCAGGAGACATCCAAGGAAAATATCAAGAGTGACATTTCCCATAATGAGGAAAAGTAAATCCATTTTTAAAGAAAGACAGTAAATGGAATATGCAGTCAAAATTTTCAACATGGAAGATGTGGGAGACAGAAAAAAATTGCAAGTTTGTGAAGTAGCCAATGCCTCAAGGAAAATAATAGAGAGAGACCAGATCCATAAAGGGTGAAGTTGTCCAGAAATGTATTACATCTGGACAGAGAGGCATTTGTGAACAGATGGAAATCCTGACAAGATGGGGAAGAGGGGTGCCCAAAATTGTGAGGGATCAATTAGGCCAACACAACAGCAAGAGAAAAAAAGATTGAGGAATAGGCACGAGAATAGGCAGTACAGATATCTGGATGTACTCCAGTGATCAGCCACAGTCTTCTGAAAATGATTCACATGGGCACATTCAAGAGAAACAAGGGACTTAAGAGAAATCTAGGTCTCTTAAAGAGACAGAGCATCTTGTTCAGGAAAAGGAGGAGACATGAGAACTTTAGTAACTAAAACTCTGTGTCTCAAATACTCCCTTTAAAGTACAATAAGTTATAATGAAATAAGGGAGAAGATTATATAATTATTTGTGTTAACATAAAGATACACAATGAGCCACCTCATGCCATATGAGACCAAACCCCAAACTTCTGCATTGTAA